TATGCACAAGGAGACAGCTCAGGGGGCAGGAGTGCATGGAGGGATGGACACTGGGAAGAGGTAACTATGGGGAGGAAGTGGGAGGGGAGCAGTTGCATTGTGGTAAACTGTGATCAATGTCGTGAGACAAAGTATATGTGTACTGCTGTATGGAAAGTGAATTTGCTCTGTAAATCTTCACCCAATCACAATTAAAAAAAAAAAAGGGGGGCAAAAGACTTGAACAGACTAAGATATACAAACAGCCAATAAGAACATGAAGAGGATGCTTTAGCTCATTAGCCATTAAATCTAATTGCTGTTGATGCTGACTCATGGTAACCCCATGTGTGTCAGTCAGAGTAGTACTGTGCAACATGGATAAATGTTGGAAACATCACGCTGAGTGATGTTAAGTCAGACACAAAATACAAATATTGTATGATCCCGCTTATATGAAATATCTAGGGAAAAAAACAGGCAAATGCAGAGAGACAAAAGTTTCTCAGTGGTTACCAGAGACTAGAGGGAAGGAAGAGGAAAATGAGACAGGTACTTTTTAAAGGGTACAGTGTTTCTGTTAATAGTGAAGAAAACCCTTTGGAAATGGCCAATGATGATAGTTTCACAATATGGTGAATGTAATTAATATCACTGAATTGTGCACTTAAAATAGATAAAATGGTTAACGTTTTGTTATATATATTTTACCCTAATAAATTAGAACAAACACTCCTCTTTTTTCAACAAGATACTGTTCCGTTTCCTGCCTTCTCTGCTTAACATCTTGAAAGAGTAATCTAATAACGCATTGAGTTTGCTTCCCCATTTCCCACTCACTGTCCTCCAAACTATCCAATTTAGTAATTTGGCTGTATCTTCCCTATACGTAAACACACTTTTATAATAATTAAGATCACTAATTTCTCAAGTACCAAAACAATGGGCAATTATGAGTTTCTAGACTACTGGATCTAATTTCTGATTATGCCAACCACCAGCTACTTCATCAACTCTGCCTTTCATTAATTCCTATTTCTTTCCAGTTTCTTCTATTAACCTTCCTTATTCACTAGCTCTTCAATGACTCTGCTCATTATTAAAATGTCCATGCTGCTCAGGTCTGATCCTGGTTCTTTCCTAATTTCACTAACACAGTTCCTCTGGACAATTTTACTCCTATGCATTCAAATATATGAAGATTCCTAAATAACAGTCCTCAAATGCCCACTGGGTAATTCAAGTCATATGACCCATACGTCTCTTGCCTCTAACATGTCTAAGACAGTTCTTTGTCTTCTCTCCAAACCTGTTCCACATTCCTGTAACCCCTTATGTTGATTTATAAATTTCAGCTTCCAACTTATCTCCCTAGTTTAGAATCTTGGAACTATCCTTGCCAATTCCCTCTTCCTCCTACTCTTCCCAAATAAGCAATTGGTCATGATAAATTCTGTTGCATCTACTTCTAATAACTGTAAATCCAGCCTTGAATTCAAGTTTTCACCTGGATTGTTTTACTGCAAGAGCCTCCCAAAAAGTATCTGTATATTATAATAAGAATTTTTTCTTTAAAATTATCTATATAAGATGTTGAGTCAGAACTGACTCGATAGCAGTGAGTTTGTTTTTTTTTTAAAAATATAAGACCAAAGAGTCAAAAGCTATTTTAAAGCATAGATAAGAAGGTTAGGGGGCAAGGAGATTTAGTAAATGGAAGTGAAACTAGAACAGAAATAACGAGAATGTTGACAGGACGTGAAGAACGTAACCGATATCACTGATCATCGTGTGTAGAAACTGTGGAGTGGTGGCAAGTTTTGCTTGTATATTTTCACTAAAAGTTACTATTTTTGTAAAAGGAAATCTGACCCTGTGAATCCCCCAATTAAAGACCTCTTGCTATCCAAAGGAAAAAGTATAATCTATTTAGTTTATAAAATTATTATAATCTATTTAGTTTATAAAATCCTTCACAATCTTTCTCTCGGTTTACCTTCTGCTCCCCTGCCCCCACCAGGCACTGTATCGTCGAATGCCATAGAGTTCACCATTTCATGGCTACGAGCATTTGCATACGTTGCTGCTTTTGCCTAGAATGCCCTTCCTCTTTGATCCTCTACTTGAAGTCTTTACCATCTACTTTCAGCAGCATTTCCCCAATTTACCTGGGCAGACATAAATGACCTTATCTACATTCTCATAAAAACTTTTTTGTGCTTCCATTACAGTTTTTATCAGTATGTTTCAACTTCCTACTTCATCTTGGATATCACCATACCTAGCAATATTGCCCAGCCTATATGCTCTAAATAAAGTTCTAAATGAGTAACTAAAACTCAGAGTTGACTAAAGTGAATCACATGGCTAGAAGTTATGATATGTATTCCTAAAGACCCTGGCCTAATTTTCTACAAGTATCCCATAATCCTAGGACTCCTAAGGCCCAGATCAACTGTGTATACTCAAATCATTATGTTTCAAAGGTAGTAAAGAGCTTCCAGGAGAGGAGAGGGAGATCTTACCTCGAGGGAAAATGCCTGGGTCCATGAAGGTGGCCATGCTGAAGTTGGCCAGCACAAAGAGAAAAACAATCGCATTGTAGATGGGCACTGCGGGCGACACATACAGGCTGAGTCCTGGGCACCTGCACAGACCGTAAAGGAAATGAGGGGCTGCCTCTAACACACTGGATCCCAACCATACCCGCAAAATCTGTAAAGTTTCTGAAGGGCCTAAGGCAGAAAAGGCTAACTTTCTGAGGGAAACAATCATCCATTGATAAGCTGTAGCAAAAAAAAAAGGCTTAGGGGTCCTTCCTACGCCCCCATCAACAACAGTCAAGACTCTGCATTTCACCCAGCCCCCATACCTATATAGAAAGCTGAGCACCAATCTCATGGACAAAAGAGCCCTTCAGTCACAGTTTTAGATGAAGGTATCAGACACAGAGAATCTCTCCTACCTTAACGCTTTGCACTAAGCGTGTTCTTCAGATTCATCCTTGCCCTCTGGAGCTTTAAACATGTTTTACAATCTGCCTTTATTTCCTTTCTAACAAGACGTGAAAACTAGGGACAAACCATGTATGCAACTGACACTAGCCACATTCCCTTCTTGGGAGCTGCCTGAGGCCATGTTCTACTGACCTACACAATGGCCCAAAGCATAGGCTACCACCTGCGTCTCTGGCACCCCTTCCCCTCACAGCTGACTTTGAACCACTCTCAACAGCTTAAGTTTCCACATTACTTCAGTTATTCCCAAGAGTGTTAATCAACTACAGGCTACTTCTTTTCTGGGGGGTGGGGCACAGCAGCCATCACTAATGACTCATAGTGACCCCTCCTTGAGTTTCTAAGGCACTATCCTGAGAGAAGTAGATTGTCCAACCATTCTTCCGAGGAGTGGCTGGTGGGTTTGAACCGCCAGCCTTCTAGTTAGCAGTCAAGTGCCTTAAGCACTGTTCCACCAGAGCTCCTACTAACAACAATACAGATAACCAAACAGATAAAGACATTGACATACAAACTCAGGACACAGAACTAGATCCCTTGAGGACTGAAAATGAATGAGAAGGGGGAGGGGAAAAAAGGTGTAAGACCACGGAAGTCCAATAGGAAGAAGAAACTGGCCAAACATATCCAGCATTCCACAGGATTCAAGTCAAGAGAGATGCTTTAGGCAACATTTTACGAAAAAAAAAAAGTGTTCTGATAAGGTCCATTTCTTCCATGGACATGAGTGTAAGTAGGAACCCTTCCAGAGCTCTTCCTTTCTCTGCTGTTACCCTGGGAGTTGGAAGCTTCAAAATGTCTGATGTGCTGCTACTATGTCAATTGTATCAAGCACTCTCTCTACTGTCTCAGCTCAGGGAGAACTTCCTATACAAGACAAGGGCTGAACATCCTAATCTGCTTTGTGGCCAAGAACGTAGTAATCTCCAGAACTGGGACGGCATCTGTCCTTGTCACCTTCATCTGGACTAGTCAGAAGGAAAGAAAGGTGCCAGGCGAAAAAGACATGTTATGAGTCTGGTGGATTTAACCCACAGCAGTCCTGGATTCTGTCAAAAGTGGTTTATTCCCATGGAAACAAAAAGAGCAGCCCTGAATTCATGACAGCGGGGAGGAACTCAGCGCCTTAATGAGAGCTCCTTAATAAACCAATGGTAAGACAAAACTGACCGTCAGAAATCATCTCACAAGTCTTCACAACCACCATTCAGCCATTATGTAAATATTACGTGCTAGGCTTTTTAGGTAGTAAATATCATTTAACTCTTTGCTTATCTTGACGAGTCAGTATATATAACTGGGAAGAAAACAATGAAGCTGGAGTGAGGCCACCAATCTCATGGACACGAGGAGCCCTTCAGTCACAGTCCTAGGCTATCACCAAAGTCTCTTAGGGAAGCCTCTGCCTCATACAAGTTTTTTGGTTCAAAAAAGATGGCCCTGTATTGTTGGCAGAGTTTTGGGTGGAATACAAGCAAGAAGGAAGAGTCTTTGCTCAGCTCCACCCTAACCTCCCAGGTTCCTTTGGAGGGAGGGAGACTGAAACCCAATCATCCAGGTCAGAACCCCTCCCTAATACTGAGCTGTTGATTCAATTTCCACCTGGGGAAGAAGAGAAAGGGTGACTCACTTGACTCCCACAGCCTGGGAAGACAATTAAGAAGGAAAAAAGAAATTAAATCTTTAGAACACTGAAGCATCCGTGATTTAAAAGTGTCATTCCTAGAACTGGGCACTGCGGCTACTGTGGCCTTTTGACTTCTGAAGAAGTAAGCAAGAGTACCCACCATTCCTGAGGGAAACAAAGGTTCTCCAAGAGCTGGTGAGTAAGAATGAGGTATCAGCCCCCTCACAGGGCCAAGTGTCAATCTTTCTGACTTCATTTTTTCTTCAGTTTCATTACCAAACAAAGCAACTCACCTGATTTCCTTGGTGCCCTGCCAGCCATTGCCCTCTAGATGACAAACTTTACCCCTGCAACTTTCTAGATAGTAACTTCCCCAGCTGAGTGTACAACTCTGGAACTGACTTTCTGTATGTTGCCAAAATAAACCCTGCCCCCACAGAGACAGAATCTAGAAACGATGCAAACAACTTAACAGAATGAGTATTCGCTCTTACATTCAAATCACATTCAAATCAGAGACCCACCGCTTCCAACCAAAAGCATTCTAGCTGAAGAACACCCCACCAAGGAGAGCCTGTCCCTGCCATATCCCATATGTTGTCTGGCTTCAGGAAAAGGCTTTCTGTTGCTATAGTACCTTGCCAAATTCCTAGGTGACCACCCCAAGGAGCCTGTCTGAATCTGTTGCCTCTGCTGGAAGATGAGGCCTTAGCTGAGGAAGGGAGTTGTTGGGGCTCATCCTCAGCCTATGGCAATAATCATGAGTTCTAGAAGCTTAGGGAGTGGCCCAGGAGGCTGGCTGACTCACTAATGGGACTCCTAGACCTCTACCATCCCTGGAAAAACAGGTTCCTCTGCCCATTCATTCAGCACTCCCATTTCAAATAAAATTGGGAGAGTGGGTTTCAATACCCACACTTCTGACATCCTGTTTCTAAGCCTCCTTAGCACATCCTCTTCTAAAAGGTGCTTAAATTCCTAGATAGAAAAACAAAGGAGGAGTCAAGAAGCTTTGGATTGTAATCCCGTATCAATGTTTGCTACACGGAACTCTCCAAACCTGTTATTTCAGCTATGTATTACAGATATGAGACTGAAGGAGAGAATGTTTGAAAAGATCCTGGAATTCTTTTTAAACTAGGTGGCTCAATACTGAGTACTATCTGGATGGAAGACATAAAAAAAACATTATTAACTATCACAATCATCATCAATTATCATTCCAGTTACAACTTCATCCTTAATTCCACTTCCCCCGAGATACTAGGGATTCAAGGACACTTAAGGCAGAGGCACTAAGCTCCTAGAGAATAGGCCTATGCATTCCACCTATGCTAACACATGTGTGAGCATATGACTAGTGTTCCATGTTGGTAAGAGAAAGGTACAATGAATGTCCCGCTTCCTGCCTTTGGGGATCCTCATTCAGGATGGTGTTATCCTCTGCCTTCCTCAAGATTCCATAGAAAAACAACTTCTCTCCTTATAGATGGGAAGTTTCTCTAAAACATCTGCTGATTGTGGTGTCTCTGTCCCCCAGCTTTCCATCAGCTGAACATTAGATGCTGAACCTGGGCACTTATTTCTGAATGAGCAAACAACTGGGGAAGGAAAAGGAACAACTACTGCTCGGTAAAGCTTAATCGCAGGGCTTTTTCCACTCAAATCAGGTGCTAACATCTCCACAGTCATGAAAAAAAAAAAAAAAAAAAGGACCAGAGGGACAGCTGTGAGATTGCCCAACTCTCTTTGGGTAAAAGAGATGGGCGGGGACAGACGGAAAAACTGAAAGGAACCATCTGTATCATGGATGGGATTCTAGGAAAGACCACCATGGATTTCTGGACAACCCTAACTTTTATCCTTCCCTTAGAGGATCACCTGAAGCAGAGAGTTCTACCCTGACATCCTCCCCATCAATTTTAGAAATGAACAGAATGAGATGCTGACTGACTTGTAACTAGAAGAGACTTTAGAGAGGATACAATTCAGTGATTTCAAATGGTGTTACCAAGAGCCCCAAGAAGGTTTCAGGGGCCCCCAAGGAAGGCAAAGAAAAGACACCAAGTGGCTGCCCTCTATGCCTCAGGCTCACTTGAAACAGAGACGTCTCACTGTTATGTTTTATATACAGGCAGTCCCCAGGTTACCACCATCTGATGATCATCAACTTACAGACAACTCCTACTTGCCCTTTAATGTTATGTAAGTTTGCCTTACTTTGAAATGACTGAACCAACCCCTGCCGGCAGTAAATTCTTCATCACACCTTCACTTGCCGCACGTGCACAAGCCTTTTCTTGCACTAAGGTAAGGCTAGTAAGAACCGCACTCACCTATTCCAACTTACCTACACATTTGCCTTAGAGACGCACTTAGGATTGGATCTTGTTCATAACCTGGGTACTGCCTGTACTGAGGATCCACATGAGATTTCATTCTTAAAAAGTTTAAATAAACTGCTCTAGTTCAACTTCCTCATTATCAAGGAAGAAACGGGGGCCACAAAGGTTAACAAATGTTACTAAAACCAATCTCCTGACCCCTAAATGGTACTCATCCCACTTAACTAGCAGTGCCCCCTTGCCAATCACAAAGAGAGGATGCAGCTATATAATATTAAAAGCAGTCTAGTACTTATTGGGAGGGAAAGGGTTACTTTAACAGACACTCTCCTTACCAAACAGGGAAAAGGAGAGATGATTAAGACAGGATCCCCAATAACGCTTCTTCTTAGCTGGGTACTGGATAAATGCAGTGAATAAAAGGGACCGGGTTTTTGAGGGAAGGTCTAAACTGTTCTATCCAAGATTCTCTGGGGCAGAAGATTACTATTTCCTTGATGATCAGACTCAACTCAGTCAATTTCTATTCATGGCTTTCCCTGTTTGACAAAGAATATAGAGGGTAAATTGTTCACAATTAGTTGAAACCTACATGCCTCTACTAACTGTATCTGTCAGATGAAAGAGACTCTCCTTCCTACTCCCAGTTGTCTAAGTCCCAGAGTTAATTCTCACCTGGGGCTTATTGTGATGTAAGAACAGCCAGTTGTAGCCTAGTGAAGAGAGTAAGAGGAGGACAGAGTAGTTACAGTGTCAGATTACCCAATAAGCAAGGTTAAGCACAAGATGACTTGTGTAGTTGTGTAGTGAGCAATTTCGTATTTTTCACCTCATCAAAGATTCTGCTTCTAGATATGGCTGGCATTTCTCTCTCCCCCAACCTCACAGCGCCTTCCTACAGAATCAAAGCCTCTTTTTCAAACTTACAATCCCTGACAGGGACACAGTACCCAATAAGCAAGGTAAGTGTGGGTGACTTGTGCTGACTTACTAATCTGTAGTGAACAGTTTCACATGTTTTTCACATCAACCCATATGAAACTGTTCACTACAGATTAGTAAGTCAGCACAAGTCACCCACACTTACCTTGCTTGCATGTTTATTAGGTAATCTGCCCTTGGTACAGATTGAAAGGCCCAAATAGGAGCTGCTTCTGAGTCTCATCTTTCCATCTGAAACCATGAATTCTTTTTTAGTTTCAAACGGGGTTCTCCAAGGAGTTAAACCTCGAAAGGGGAAGATCCCTCTGGAAATGGTTTTTCAGGACAGTGGTGCCTGAACCCACACCCACATGCTTGTAGGGGAAATCCTATGGTCAGATAGAGAGGAAGAGATGAGAATTTCAGAGGAACCAAGAGCCAGGTGACAGAGAAAGACAAACAGGGTATCTGTGCCTCAACAAAGTGAGCAGGAGACACTCTAGGGGGAAAAAAGGAGTCTACAAATTGGTCCTGTGGAAGCTAATACCAGGGTGAACTCTATGACTTAAGTTTCTTTTAACTTTGGATTAGAAACAAAAACTCCTGCTCAAGAATTACAGAGTCAATATTGTCCTCCAAAATCCTTTCACCCAGGTCGGTGAGACCACGAAATGCAGAGGGCCTCTACTTTACTGGCACCCGGGAACAGGAAAGTAGGTTAAATAGCTTCAACTACCAATTGAGAAAATGCTTATGTCAGGATAACTCTGTGGGCAAACTGGTATAACCAGCCAAACACTTCAACAGTTCCAGATTAGCAAGTCAAGAACAAGGATTTTGCTTGTCTTCTCAAGAACAGATGGGTTGCGAAGGAAGGTCAGGAGAGGAGGAATGGAAAAGAGAATCACAGGAAGGCTGTGGGAGAAGTGATCAAGAACATGAAATACAAATTTGTGAACTGCTGAATGGGAGCTCTAGTGAGTAGTGTCTAAGGTATTTATTTGACTGCTAACCAGAAGGCTGGCGGTTCAAACCCACCAGCCATTTCTCGGAAGGAAGGTTGGGCAATCTACTTCCATAATGATACTGCCTCGGAAACCCAAGGAGGGATCACTTTCAGTCAAATCCACTTTTCTGTAAAATTTCACCCAAATGACATTAGAAAGTTTAAAAAAAGATGGGTTGAGAGAAACCACTGAAGTCAGTACCCTGAATTTTCTAGCTTCTCCAAAAGCTTTACCTCTTTAAGAAAAAACAGGCCCTCCTCAACTAGACAGGTCTAAGAGGGCCAGCCATATCGGTCTTGCACATAGCCTTCCTGACCCAGTAACACAACTGTAAGGATACAAAGATACTGAGATCTAATACAAATGTTCCTTGGTTAAAATGTTGATTCTACTTACTAGCCATAACAACAGAAACCCGAATAAGTCCTGACGCTGAAGACTAACCCCTCTGTAGGCAGTCAATGCATAAAGGGCACAAGTCACTGAACTTTAAGCAACAGAATGGTGACTTTAAGCAACAGAAAAAGAATATACAGAAAAGTGAGGCCAGATTGGCAAAGCAGGACTAACTCGAGACCCAGGAGCTCTGGTACCATAGTGCCTAAGTCACTTGACTGCTAACCAGAAGGCTGGCAGTTCAAACCCACCAGCCACTCCTCAGAAGGAAGATGGGGCAATCTACTTCCATAGTGATAATGCCTCGGAAACCCGGGGGGGGGGTTGCTATGAGTTGAGTCCGACTCAACAGCATGTAACAACAATCTCAAGACCCAAGGGATCAGCAGGCATGGTCAGGCTGGAGAGCTGGGGGCCACATCTATGACTTCTTCTATGCTTCAGAAGAAGAGGGGAGAAGTGAGATGATGCTTATACCTTAAATAACGGATTGTTCTTTCCTTGTTTAAAAACTAGATAGATCACCATTACTTCACTTCTGGCCAAGTGACCCACGTGTTTTAGAACTCCTTTTGGCATCAAAGCTCAATTGTTGTGGTCTTCCTTCCCTCCTATCTCAGATTTAATTTCTGTTCTATATCTCTCCTCATAATAGTAACTGGCTCCACCCCAGTAATTCCTGCTTCATTTTCATTCAGCCCTCAATGAGTCTCAATTGCTTTTATTCCTAACTACCTCATTATCTTCCTCTTCTCAGCAGAGCACAACCAACTGTGAGCCTGAACTATAGCAAAGTGGACTTCCAAAATATAGTATGTCTGATCACTCCAAGAGTTGCAGCTAGAGAACTAATTTAATGACTCAACAGTGTAAGGCTCAGAGGCCTAGTACATGTTAATTTATAAGTAGCTTAATAGGAAAGTTCTAGCTGCTTGCCAGGAAGTAGACAGCTAAAATATTAGAGGAAAGAGAAAGGATAAATTACTCACTCTCTGCCACTAACAAGCAAATTAACAAAGTTCTAAAGAGCTCAAGTGGAAATGATACAGATCCCAAATCCTTCAAATACCAACTGCCTTTCCCAAGAAGACCAAGGAATAGGAGAATTATCATCACTCCCTTCAGCAGAAACTAATATAAAGGGACTCTTCTAGAACTCTCTTCCTAAATAATATGTGTCCCTTCCCAGTGGCCCTTACTTGTCCAGGCTTCAGTTTAATAGAGAGAAAATCATCTGAGTAACACAAAACTGACAACCAACAAAAACAAAAACTGTCTCATCAGTATATCTCAATCAATTCTGAAACTTTCCAGTACTCTCAGTTTCCACAATCTCAAACCTAAGCTTCTGACATCCTAGGGAAAAGCCATTTGAAAAACCTTTAGTTTAGTCTAGTTCTTTCTCTCTCACAGAATTGATTGCTTAAGCTGCTTCAAGCCTCTCTGGTAGTTTCCTCCCACTTCCTTCCTAGTTTAGGATTATCTAATGAGGGAGCTGGGTAGGATAACATGAAGACACTTATGATTCCAAAGGAAAAGAGGGAAGGGAAGGGAAACGACTCAATGGAGTGAAAAATTTCCAAGATCACAGGCTTTTCTCACTTTTCTTACTGTATCTCTGGATTTGGATTTACCTATACAAACATGGATTTCTAGTCACGTGGTTTTGCAAGAAACTAGCAAACCTCAAGAGAAAGCATACCCCTTCACATCCTATGGAGTGGCCCCCAAATATCACCGCTGGGAGAAAACTCACGTAAAGGCAAAGAAGAGTGTTGTAGCTCCCACTAGGAAGATGGCGGCTGCTGAGACCGGGACATACTTGCTGGGTTTGAATCTCTTTCCAGACTCTGCGGGCATGTTGGAGCTCTGATGGGAGATGTGCCCTGCCGCATAGCCCAGGCCCACACAGCGGCAGAACAGGCAAGAAAATGGGAGAGGGAAACAGCAGAGAAGAGTACAGGAGGCAACCAGGGAAACAAAATTTAAATGATCACCCTTCCCCCTCCCAAATAAAACCAAAGGTCAAAAGATCTCAAATGTAGGATAGCATATGGGAGGGGGAAAGGTGATTCCAAATTCCAAACGATAAAAAAATTACCTCCCCAGAACAAGGCAAAGGGAAGATTAAGAAACACAACTTGTACAGTTTAAAAATTGGAAAGAAACAGTAAATGCAAATGGTTGCAGGTGGAGAACATGGGCAGCCAGAGAGATCAAAGAATAGCTCATGGACAGAGGCAGGTCTTCAAAAGGAAAGCAAGAGGAGAAGATTAGGAAGAGTAGAAAACTTCGGGCAAGGAGAGACTCTTCTGAGGAGATACTACAGTACCTCCACAACCACCACACTTGCACAAAAGTCAAGCTGCACCTACAAGAGGTATGCCCTGTGCTTCTATTTTAATCCAAGAAGGAACCTGAGGTGCCTTCCAGCTTTAAAGAGAAGCTGTTTTATTATAGTCCTTGTCCTTTTCAGGTAGTCTCCTCGATGCCACTTCTCCCACACCTTGACTTTATCAGGTTTGTAGTCTGGCAATGGTGGGTGAATTTTATTTCTCTCTTGATGGCTAAAGCTGGGCAACAGCTGTTACAAGGTTGAGTTGTAAATCCTCTTCTTTGAAGGGGGAGGGAAAAGAGAAAAAGCAAGCTTGCCTGTCTTCAATCTCTTCTTGTTATTCCCAAGCCCTTTAAGGGCTTCGTTTCCTCTTGAGTTCATACAAAACTAAAAAGGAACTTAAAATCCCTGAAGTCATATTCTTCCAATAAGCAGAGTAAGTTGAAGTGACTGATTACATTCAGTGACGTTTTATGAGGTTACTATGAATGAAAGCAAAATTCCAAATATCTCCCTGTTTCCAGGTTAGTCGCTGTCTCTGCTCTTTCTTCTTCAATCTTGGGCCTTCTGGATGCAGAGATCAACTGGGTCACAGTGCCTCACCTGGAGGAGATAAATATGTTTATCAAAGAAATTCTTTGAGGATATTTCTAAAAACACCAAGGCTAAGATTCCCCCAGCTGCTCTGTTAACAAGTGCTTCTGAAAGATTATTTTCCATTTCACTTACATGGATGCAGGAAAGGACTGTAAACTGGGAGGAAAATAGGTCCAGAACCCTTCACTATTCTAAATGCTTTTCAGACTGGAGGGAAAACATGACTTCACCTGGCCTAAGGTCAGAGAACTGGGTGTTACATTAGCTCTTACAAGGGGCCCATCTCACCTGACACAAATGGGTAGTAACAAATACCAGGAATATCAAACTCCAAAAACAGAAAGGGGCACAGCAGTGAAGGGCCCTCTCAGGAAAGAAATTTCACTATGAACAAAGAGAGTATTTATTGCTACAATGAAAAAAGAAAAAAGGAATTTCAAAATTAGAATAGAAAGCACCCCACCACCACCACCACCAATGAAGTTATAACCCTAAAGAGGCAGAAACTGAATTTTTGGTCTTCTGGAATTAGCCATTAAAAGGCCTGAGTGAAAATATTCTTGCACTGAAAGTGAGATACCTTCCCTGAGAAACTGAGTTTATAGTAGGGGTTGGTCCTTTTCTTCCCAATTCAACAGTTTTTTCTTCCTAAATCAGTTTATTAGGAAGTCAACAGAGCCCCACCTACTCCAACATGATTAAGAGTAACAATCATTTGAGAGTAACAAAGTAACTCCAGCACTTTGAATTTTATAGGACGCTTTTCATCTAGTGATCTCAAAGCACTTTGCTCACATTATCTGGTGACATAGTCTCTTATCCCACTCCATAAAATTGAAGGCTAGAGAATGCCTGAGGCCATTCCAGTGAATAACTTGAGTGGCCAGGTTCAGAACCCCAGAGCCCACAAGGCCCTTTGCTAATACAAAGTCTTTCCACCTTGCTCATCCACCATGCTACCTGTCCCAGCAGTGAGAACTCAGAATATATAAACCAAAATTGAATGTCAGTTAGAATTTTACAGAAAATCCTCCTTATGCTGTGCAGTATTTCCCTTAATACCAAAAGCAGAGATTAAAGATTTCAGAAGATTCAGAGAGTGAAATAAAAATGTGGCTTGGAATTCATCACTTTCTCTGTTTCTCTAGCACTTCTGGTATGGAAAGCAAAAGGTTCCTTTCCTTTTCTATCTCTCCTTTTAAAACAAACACGATTTCAGAAGACCAAGCAACATTAGAATAAGCCCCAATGAATATAAGAAGTTATTACAGTCGTACAAAAGATAAATCCTCTGTAGCCCTGATTTTATGATTATTTAGCTCTGTTTTCTTTAAGAATCAAAGCCCAATCCTCTGAATTTAGCCCTCAGTAACTTTGTTAACAAGAAGAATGAAATTCTTGGTTTAAGGCAGTACTATTACTTAAACTTTCCCCAAAACCTCAAAGATCAGAGAAAATGAAAAACTACATTACTTAAATTTCATCTAGAGTAGTATGTCATTTAAACACCAAATTTTAATTTCTACAGGAAAAAAAAAATCACATTGGCTAATACTACCATAGTAACGTGGCATCATGAAAGGCCATACAATTTCAGGAGTACAATACTGGGATACAAGAGAGTAGCATCAGAGATGTTTAAGGAACAAATATTAGAAGGGACAGCATAAATCCTAAGAATTTAGTGAGTATAAATAAAGGCCACACCAAGTCATAGCAGAAGGATGTGCTGTCTCTGACAGGGATGGGACCAGAATGTGTGTGAGGCTCATCAGAGCTAGGAGTCTGGATCCATCCTCCATACCAGTAGGAGAAAGGTAACAGGAATGTGAATGATACATGCAGACAGAGTAAACCAAGAAATGGAAATATGTATATCTAAATATACAACAAACAATACAGGAAATGTAGTTCAAAGGCTAAAAGTAAAACTCTAGGAACATATTTAAGATCTGAGTGTAAATACCAATGAAAGTAAAGGACCTCCTCCTCAAAGGGGAAAGATTCCAGCAGGACGACTGAAAGCAGAAATACCATTTCCTGAAGTGAAGTGCTGTAATATAGTAAATCTGAATATGCAGTAGCTGGGGTACAATGGGTGATCCACATGACAAGATACTGGTGCAAAAGCTAAGCAGAAGTTTAACACGGTAGCAAAATACATGGCAATATAAATATCTTAGGTGTATTTAACAGAATGGGTGATAATGAGCGCTCTGCAGAGATCTGACACAGGACAGAGGGATACTGGGATAAAGGATAGGCATGCAAATGTAAGATCAACCTGGACAAGATGGCATTAACCAGGAAGTGAAAAATCCAAGGCAGAAAGCGCTGACCTAGAATACAACATAGACTTGACCCCACACCTCCTTTCAGAACTTTAAGTCACTTTCTTACTTCTCACTTCAGTGTTTTCATTCGGTCGAATGGGCAAAATACGGTCCACCTCCCTGTCTCACAATGAGACTTCTGTAAGTAAAATGCTGGCAGACATACTCGAGCTCCGCTTGAAAAAGTACAAAGTACTAAAAAGCATGGAGTACCCTGCTAGTGGGGATAGGGGGAGAAGGGAGATGATTTGGAGAGAACAAATAACAGAACAAGGTTTAAGCCAAAATAACTATCAGCAGAGTGGGGCAAGGGAACCGAACCGCAGAGCGATAAAAGGGGAACAGCACCCAGTCCCCACACGGAGCTGGGGCAAGGGAAATCAACGTATGGGGCAGAACTGGGGAGTAGCCCAGCGGCCGCCGCTGAGCCTGAGAAGACGGAATCCACAGCGGCAGGGCCCAAGGGGGCTGTGGGAACGGGCTGCGGAGGAACGCAAAGTCCGGGGGCGCAGGGCCGGGGGCGGAAGGGACCGCGGCTGGCGCAGAGGAACGGGGGTCCCGAGCCAGGAACGGGGGATCCAGCACTAACCCGTTCCGAGGCCCGGCGGCCGTGGATCCCCGGCCTCTCCTCGTCGTCCGTTTCCGGGGCCCAAGGGTCTCGCCGCGGTTGGATGACTTGGCCCCGAAGAGGGATGGGGCCTCAACCGCTTCCCCCTCCTCGGTCCCCCTTCCCTAGAGGTCACTCTCCCCTCCCACCTCATTGGCACGGCACTTCCGGTTCCGCAGGGGCCGGTGTCTCTGGTACTCACCCCCGCCGCGGTGCCCGTCACCGCCGCGGTGCCCGTCACCGCCGCGGTCGTTGTCGCCGCCGCCTCCCAACAGAACCGTCCGGCCTCTGAGAGACAGCGCGCGGCCCCCGCACGCTCCGCGCCCGCCCTGCTCCCGCGCGCTCCCGTCCTGCGACGCTCGTCTTCGTGCCGGCGCGCGGCCGTGGCCCTCAGTACCGGGTCTCCAGCCCTCCTAGCGTTCCCATTGGCTCTCTGGTCCGGACACGCGCGACGTCTCGCGCCGGGCACGTTTCTCTCATTCATGAGGCTCGCGCTGCCGCGCCCGCCCCCGCTCACTCTCCCATTCACCCATAACCCCCACCCCAACTCTCATCTGGAGCGTGCGCGCGAACCCTGGCGACCGCGGCGACCTCGCGGTCTAATTGGCTGTAGGAGCACAGCGCCGTACGTACGCGAGAAAACGAGCGCGCGCGCGTATGGCCGTCGGGTTCCGCGGACCACTGGGAGAGGAGAGTTGGCGTTCTGCGCAGGAGTGAGGAATGGGGAAGGGGCCAAACGAGTCATCTCTTTTCCTGCATAGTATTTTCCGTCCTAATTGTATCTAGGACAATAGAAGTGATCAAAGGTAAGCAGCTACTCTCTTGAACTCACCAATCCCCCTCTAAATAAGTGTGGTACAGTCCAGACAGGCGTCTAGTGTAACCAATTACCGTTAAGGCCGGCCCTCTTCCCGCTTCAGTCCTTCACCCATTGGTCAACTGGCATCTGAGTAGGGTTTTTGGATTTTTTTTTTCCGACGGCGAAAACTTTATTTAAACAATCTTTGTTGTTGTTGTTTGCCATAGAGTCGGCCCGACTCATAGCGGCCCCGACTCATAGCGACCCCTCCTTGGGTTTCGAGGCAGTATCACTACGGAAGTAGGATTGCCCAACCTTCCTTCCCAGGAGTGGCTGGTGGGTTAGGGAGACATTTTCTATTTGGTATTACCTGCTATCAGCGGAATCCGTGGGTGATAGAATAGGCTGGGCTGTGGTTCCCATAACTAAGGGGAGGCAGGCCTAAGAGAGCCAGTTTGGGGGAGGCTGCTGCCAGAGGCCCGAAGGAAGAAGAAGGAAGCGGGCGCGAGCCTGGAGGCACTTGACTCCACTTCGTTCCGTTCCTTTCCCATTGCAACGTGAAGAGTGGTCGTCCGTGTCCCTAATGACACCCAATCCTGGAATACAG